AGAAACCTTTAATAATTACTCTTATTCTATCGCCAGAATCCGAGTCTCAGTGGGAACAACATCACTCACTGGGAGGCAGGTACATCCAACTGACGAATCCCAAATAGGACGAAATACTCATCCTGGATTCCACTGTTAGCCACTGCTACTGCTTCAGTAAATAAAACTTTAATGAAAGGTAACACTTTGAAAGAAGAGTATTCCTGGCAATAAATGAAAGTGTATAGCATGAAATTAAGCCAAGTTAGGGTCAGATCCATCTTTAAAATAGAGCGAAATTTAGGGAATGTAAGGAAATCGGTTTTTCTTTCTTAAATTTATCAACACTGGAATGACTTCATAAATAGTATAATGGTGAGTGAGAAGACGGCAAATAAAGAAGGAGTGACTTTAAATTTACAGAAACCCAAGGAAAGAGTAACGCCTGGACATGTTATTTTTGAACGCACAGTTCTGGTTAGATCAATCTTACTGCGACACCTTTAAATATGTTAAGCAGATATTGGTGAGCTACATGTGGTATCATTTTCGGAATACGATGAATAACATTGAAAGCATGTTTGCATCTAAATGGTATCCATTGTCTCTCAAGTGCTCAAGGTTGGAACTTTTTCCCACTTTCACTTCGTCATTTCCCAACCAAGCTGGTATCCTTAGACGCACCTGCCTAATGGTACACCCTATGAAACTAGTCCCTAAGGAAAGGTTAAATTGATGTGTATGGGATGAAGAGGGAAGATTAAGTAAGCTATTCTTTGGCATCAGATTGAGCATTGACCGATTATTGAATGATATACAAATCTGGCCTGCATAAAATCTCTTATTGACTGCTGAAGCTAGGCGTTGTGATAGAATATCAATTGCAATATCTTCCTTGCTTTCTGGGAGCAATAACAAAGGCTTCTTCTCCAGTGTCATCACTTTTGTTTAAGACCAATATAATTGATATTGGCTTTGATGAACTTTTCCGGGTATCCATTTTCACTCAGAATATCATAGGTTTTGCCATACACTCCTTAGGAGAAATCGTTCTTACTGTAAATGCTAGGCACCTGATTATTTTACATTTGTACTTTATCAACACGACGTTACGACAGTGACGGTACCGTAGACGTCGCTTTTTCATATATACTTCTCGGTGTAAAGCCACCTTTATTTCTTATCATTAACACATCAAGAAAATGTATCGAATCATTGGTTTTATTTTGATACACAAAATGAACTGATGAATAAGGACTGTTGAAATGATCCAGAATAGAATTGCTATATGGGCAATTATCAAAGACTAAAATCGTATCATCCATATAATGACAGTACAACTCTATTTCGGTAGTTTGATCTTTTAAAGTATCAGTTTCCAATTTTATCAGAAATACGTCTGTAAATTTTAGGCCCATAAGAGATCTCATAGCTGATTCATCAACTTGGCTGTACAAATTATTGTTGGAGATGAATTGGACAGCAATCGTCCCTTCATATTTATAGTAGGAACACCTGTGTCTAATTTTCTTTTTCAATAGTTCTTCACGAATATGATCCATAGTTTCTATTAGAGAAAGACTAGTAAACTAAGGTCTGACATCTAAGGATCCCATGCATTTTTTTTAAAAACATTTAGGTTTTTACTTTGTCAATAAACTCATAGGTGTCTTTCATGATATAATTGTTTGCTAACTAGTTACGCAAAGGTTAAAGTAATCGTACCAACCACTTAGTGATAACATGGCGAGGTGGACTGGATCATGCAACAAACAGTGAGGAGCAAGAAGAGGGGGATACGCTGGCTGAATAACGGAAAAAAAACCTAGAAAACTTGGATTTCGCCGACGATTTGTGTCTGATGCCGAAAAAACTTGAAGATCTATAAGCAAAAACCAACAACTTGACAGAACAGGTAAGGCAGCGAAGATAGGGATTCAAGTGAACGTAGAGAAGACAGAGGTGACAAAGATACCCTACCAACAACAAGCTCCAATCACCATCAACGGCAGAAACCTAAAGGAAGTAACCTCCTTCATATATCTAGGCATCACTATTTCAACTACAGGTGGCACAGGCACAGACGAGAATGTCAAAGCAGCCAGGATCGGAAAAGCAAGACAAGCGTTCATTAGCCTGAATCCAGCGTGGAGATCTTCTGCACTCAGCATGTGGAAGAAGATTCGGATTTTTAACACTAATTCAGTCAAGTCAGTGCTTCTGTATGGCTCAGAGACTTGTTGCGTTACGAAAAGCATTTCCGCCAAACTACAGATATTCATCAGCAACTGCCTACACTGGCTCGTTACTGAAGCCCAGATGGCCAGAATTATAAGAATAAGCAACAAGGAACTCCGGGAAAGAAATAACCAAGAAGCCATCGCTGAACAAATATGCAGAAGGAAAGGGAATGGATTGGATTGGATATGCACTGATAAGACCATTCGGGGACATCACGTGCCAAGCCAGGCCAGGTCGTCCAGTGTAACCCCGAAGGGAAATGACAAGTTAGGCGCCCCAGCTGAGGGTGACATGGAGGAGATGGTGTGAGGAAGAAATGAGAGCTTGTGGGCTGTCGTGCAGCCAGGTTGAAAAGTTTACGGAGAACAGAGTGCAATGGCGACGTGCTACTGAAGCCCTATGTTCGACTAGGAACCTAATGGACAAATAATAATGTTACTAAGGATGCACATCACACATCACTTGTATTAATTTGTGGAGCAGTTATTTATTGAGTTACATTCTTCAACTACTTTTGTGCTCACATTCCTCCTTACAGACTTAGTAAAGGTTCAGTATGAAGTGTTGAGTTCTTCTTCAGTTGCAGCCTAGGAGCATAAAAGTTCGATTACCCTTCATTGGTGTTGGATAAAAAAACGGTGCTTAAGATGTACGTATGCTGTCCCGTTTATGTTCTTCTGGTATGTAAATTTCTTGTTACCAGCTCATCTATCATCTTTCTGAAATAACTTGCACGATTCAAAATCTATTCATTGATTCGTTCTACTGTTTGGAAGTTATTGCTTTTAACACTTCATTGAATCCCTTGAGTACCTTAGTACTATTTAACTGATCAATATATACGAAGAGAAATCCAGACCTTTCCATACAGTTACCTAGTGAACTATTTTCAGTTACAAGTGGCACAAATATGAATGTCTGTGTTAATCTTAATTAAAAATACTTTGTATAATGTTAGTCTTATAATACTGTCAGCTAATTACATAAACGGTCAGAGTTTTGCACTAATTCAACAATTATTTCCAACTATTTAATAAATGTACAGCTGGTTATGATATTCCATACAGTTACTCTTATTCGATGAATATGAAATCTACAGTATTTTTCTTCAGGATTATTCAAGGTACAAAGCTGGTATATTATACTTTAATAGTTTGTAGATCACAAGTAAAAATGTAATTAGTAGACGAAAATGATTTTTCTCTTTCGTTTTATTATCAACTCCGTGGAGACTATCCTGAATAAATGCAACTTTCAGAAGTTGGACCAATGGAAGTTCAGCTAGAAACGAAAGTGAAACATGTTAGGAAGCGTCTTATTTTCTTGATACAAAGATCGATGCATATGAGTTGTATTGTCTTAATTTACACAAACATTCCAGTGGATCATCTTCATCAAGACAGGAATCATTAGATTTGCTAAATGTTTTAAGATAAATCACTGGCTACAAAAACCCTCAAAGAATATACGGGTGGTGTCCTACTGGCTTAGTGGATGTTGCTTTGGCATCTTAAGCGATGGGTATGAGATTCGAGTCTCAGTGGAGTCAATATCATTCACTGGAAGGTAGATACATTCGGCTGATGAGTCCTGAATAGGAGGAAGCGCGTGTCCTGGATTCCACTGTTATTCACAACCCATTCACTTACCATCATTTCTGTTGGTTGATAGATTGGATCTATGTCTATACATCTGTTGATTGCTCACTGACCGTTCTTCTTTAGGACATTCCATCACTCATTTCAATGCATGTGGATAATTATGGACATGAATTCAATTTCGACAATGTAGAAATGTTGGACAGAGAGAGGAAACACCAAAAATATCAGAGAATTCCTGGAAGCTTGGCATTCAGGTCAGTCAGTCAGTCAACAATCAACAGATGTATAGACATAAACCCGATCTACCAATCAGTAAGAAAAATGATAGACGACAGAAAGTTCAGACGTCAGGTCTGGCAGAGAGATAGCCAACAGGAACATCTATACAGTCAGTCAATGACACAGCAATCAAAGGAAACAACCAATCACAGACCACTTCATCAGAGCAAGCTACTAAATCACTCGGGGAGAGATATTGACAACTCGCTTCATTGTGAAGTTAGTGGTGTGGATGATGTTGTGTAGAAGGAGGATGAAAGCTTCACTAATAAACATCCCAGCCATCTCAGAGAACACAATACAACCAAGATTCACATACTTCATTATTTTGACCCTTGTAAATTAGATAAGAATGATTATTTCACAACAGAACAAAAAGTGATTTGTATTTCCTTATTATACATAAGTAATTACATACAAAGAAGTTAACTAATTGAATAAATATTACCACTGCTTCATAATAAAATCTCACTAGGTTTTTAAAGTCAACTTAAATTTACTTAAATGGCTTGAAATGAGACCGATACAACAAATAAAAGTCCATTTCAAAGTTCTGACGTCCATGAAGACTAACTTCTGGAATACTGATTAGAATGATTGATAAAGGAGTGTAAATTGTATAGAAATGTATATCTCATACAAAACGATGAAATATAATCATAGTCAAAATACGCTAGATATTTTTATATACTTTATTTGCCGCCTTTTTTAAATATCTTTTCCTTGACTTGTTAGAGCCTGAATTATGTGAATATGAACATGTATACAGATACCTTCAGATTTCACCCTTAAAAGTCACTCAGTTTCTCCGTAAATAGAATAGGTGTGATTATAACATTAATGGCAAGATCAACAATATATACAGAATACAAGGTATACATGTATTACAACGGTGTAGGCTATTTCCAGGCCTACTACATTTAAATCCGATTGATTTTTCATCTCTTCAACCAGTATGATACTTAAATGTTGATTCAAGTGTATTTTCCCGAGACTTCGAAGCAAAGCGGTTGGTGGAAAAAAGTCATGAGGCATATTAAACTTCTTATGAAGGTTTTGTCAATATTTCTGCACACTGTAATACCTCCCCATTGAAATGTAGGCTGATAGTACAATGGTGTCTTTTGATTGACTAGTAACTCTTTGCTAGATCGTGACACGTTATTCCATAGCACTCTTCTGCTATATCTGTACTGTGGCGTAGTTTGAAGTAACTGAACTGTAGTTTGATTTAAGAGGAATGATTTTCTAACACTGAAGTAGAACATTTTGTGGACCTTCTCCTCCCTGCCTAAATGAGATGGATTGATAAATGTTTCAAAATCACTTCCTATAGTTGTAACTATTAGATCCAGCGGTCGTATAACCCTCATCCAAATTGGTTGTATAAATTTAAGCGTTGTTATGGAACTTTCAACAGTGAAATGGCACATTAATCTGCCACCCTCAGTGAAACAAATCCACATAGGCAGTGCTGTCATACTGTTTTGGTTCTGTTTGTCAACCAGCCTCACTTTTTTAGATGAAAGCCTGAGATCTTGTGTCCGGCTTGAGTGAGAGTAATCTTAATGTAGTTAGTTTGGACAGTAAGCTACTCCGCTATGCTATAAATCGCCATAGTCAACATCGCAGTATTCTACTCCGATGACTTGCTTATGACCCTTTGATGCACTGTTAGCGACCAATAAATTTAGGAGGATTCAGAGTTTTCTAATTGGCTGCTGTTTAGTGAATAGTATATCTGAAGCAAAACTGGCTTACACACAATCCTGAACAATGTAAACCGTTCTCTTATTCATGAGCATAGTGATTAGATTTTTTACAAACGGCATAAAAATAAACGTTTCTTTTCATCAGAAAGTAACTGGTGCATCTGAGAAAGAATACTATGTTAGTCTAGATAGTTATGGGAAGTAACTCATCCCATAATATCTCACCTACTATTTGACTTAGACTTCAATGGTTCAACTAAATATTTCCCTCAAAATTCTCTAATATATATCATTTTACACCCTAATAATGCCATATTACTAGGTACCTTATCTATTCTTATTTCCGATATGCTAATGGGGCGTTCATTTCTGCTTCAGACAGAAATATATTGTGCAAAAATTATGTTCATTTATGTTTCAGATGAGAAGGAGAAATTAGAGATATGTTTTTTTATTATATCTGTGCAATAAAATTAGGTGCTTTTTTTCTTTCGACTAACTTTCTTGATTGTATTGTGTTGTCTGAGCTGGGTTGTTTAATCGTGAAGCTTTCATCGTCTTGCTAGACGACATCATCAGCGCACTTCATACTAAAGTTAGTGGTGATGACGTCGTCTAGCAAGACGATGAAAGCTTCACGATTAAACAACCCAGCCTAGAGAACACAATACAACCAAGACCATCCTCCTGAACTACAAATATTCTCCATCATTTCACCAACTTTCTTTTTGTGGAGTTACTATAGAAAGTAGAAAGTATGCTTACCTGTTACCGAACCTTTCGAAAATCAATAAATTTTCCGAATTTGACAGTGACACCTTATGATAAAGTTAATATTTTTCCAGTTACTTTTTTTACCTCCACCTACAAACAATTTAAAAAAAAAATTGCATGACGCCCTAACATCTGAAAATAAACCAACTGTTCGTATGTTGGAATACGAGAATATATCTAGAATTTCCTGTCAAAACATAAAAACATTTTGTTGACCAGTGTTCTACCGTCTAATAGTGTGTTATATTTTCTTTGTTGAGACCAAGGTATATATAAAATGAAATGCATGTATATGAAATTTTTTTAAAAATGTCTTAAGCAAAATAATTTTCTTCAAAATATTTTATAGAAGTATACCATTATTTGTAAGTTATATGTTGGTTATTGTAAGTGTCCATTGCTTTAACCTGGTATAAGTAGCACCCAACTATTAGTGTACGTGAAAACATTGACTGTACCATACACCAGCTTATCAAAAATACTCAAAATCACAATACAACTTAGGCTGATAAATAGAGAACGGAAATGGATTTACAGCTATGTAAGCGAAAACTTAAAAAAACTCAGAGTAATCGGCTCCTTTTGATAAATCTCTTAAAATTTTGTGCAAATTGTAACCATATGTGCATAGATAAAGTACCAATGACTGAAAAAATTCAACCCGTCAATGCGTTTAAAAGAAGTACATACAGCCACTTTCTCTGCCATAGCCATCACTGAGTATTGACCACTATAGATAATTCTCATATGACTTAACTACTTTTATTTTACAATCATTTTGTTTATTTTTCTATTTTAAACACCTGTAGACATTACGTAGCTTTCATTTGTTTTCTTCATAGGGTTAAGTAATAAATTTCATATGTGAAACTTATTTTTAAGGAAAATTGGTCAAAATTGCCAATTTTTTAATAGTCCAAATTTGATATATGGTGTAAATTATTAGTATTATTACTTGTCGCCGATGAATTGTGCCTGATGTCACACAAGCTTGAAGATCTACAGGCGAAAACTACCAAGTTGGCAGAGAAGGTAGGGCAGCGAAGACGGGACTTCACGTGAATATACAGAAGACAGAAGTGATGAAGATACCCCACCAACAACAACAACAAACTCCAGTCACCGTCAACGGGAGAAACTTAAAGGAAGTAACCTCCTTCACCTATCTAGGAATCACTGTTTCAACTTCAGGCGGCACAGACGAGGATGTCAAAGCAGCCAAGATCGGAAAGACAGCAAGGTAGGCGTTCATCACCCTGAAACCAGTGTGGAGATCTGCTGCACTGCACTCAGCATGCTGAACAACATCCGGATTTACAACACCAACATCAAGTCAGTGCTCCTCTGTGATGGTTGAGAGACTTGGCAGTGCGTTACGAAAGGGATTTCCAACAAACTACAAACATTCATCAACTACTGCCACCTACACTGGCTCCTTACTGAAGATCAGATGGATTGCCAGAATAATAAGAATGAGCAACAAGAAACTCTGGCTGACTGGCAACGAACCAACTAACAAATATGCAGTGGAAGGAAGTGGAGATAGATTGGATTGGGCATACACTAAGAAGGCCGACTGGGGACATCACACGTCAGGCCAGTCGGGCACTCGAGTGGAATCCCGTGGGAAGCGATGAGTTGGGTGTCCGTGGTGAGGATGACATGGAGGAGATGGTGTTGAGAAGGAAATGAGAGCTTATGGGCTGTCGTGGAGCCAGGTTGAAAAGATTGGAGAGGACGGAGTGTAATGGAGATGTGCTAGTGAAGTGGTATGTTCTATTAGGAACCCAAGGGACTAATAATAATAATAAATTATTTGTCCCTTGAGTTCGAAGTTGTACATAGGAATTCAAAAGCATGTCTACATTTCACTCCGTTCTCTGCAATCTTTTCAACCACTGTTCAGTAGCGTTCATTTCTTTCTCGAGCGATCTCCTCCATATCGTCGTTTCCACTTTGCGTCACACTTGAGGGTATGGCCTGGTGCATGATGTCCCCGAATGGTCTTCTCAGTGTATGCCCAATCCAATCCATCTACACTTTTTTCTTCTGCATATTTATTGGGCAATACCTTCTTGGTTGGTTCGTTAGCAGCCAGCCAGAGTGAGTTACTCGTTACTTATTCTTTCTGGCAATCCATCTGATCTTCAGTATCGAGTGGGCGTAGGCGGCATCTGTTAATGAATGTCTGTAGTTTGTTGGAAATGCTTTTCGTGACCTGCGAAGTCTGTCAACCATCACATAGAAGCACTGGCTCACTTGACTGAATTAGTGTTGTAAATCCGGATGTTGTCCCACATGCTGAGTTCAGCAGATCCCCACACTGGTTTCAGGTTAATGAACGCCTGTCTTGCTGTCTTTCCGATCCTTGCTGCTTTGACATCCTCATCTGTGCCGCATGTCTTTGAAATAATGTTGCCTAGATACGTGAAAGAGACAACTTCCACTAGGTTTTCCCGCTCATGGTGATTGTTGCTTGTTCCTGATGGTGACGGTTGGTTGTGTATTTTCATCACCTCTGTCTTCTCTACATTCACTTATGTTAAAGTGATATGAAAAAAATTAAACAAGATTCAACAGTAGTGTAAACAATCAACAGTTGGTATAGTTCTTCACTCCAGTGTAGTTCAGGAAGTACTATACTGTTTCAAAGTTGCGTAACTACTTCTCATTGGAAACCATTATGCATGCCTTTCGTATTTATCTTTAAAATAAATACATTTTCAGTGATTCATGTGCTTAAAACAACTGAGAAAAATTGCACCACATTTTAACCTATAAAGGCGTGTAACGTTTTATGAAAGTTAGTTCTCACCATAACCGCTATAGAAAGCAAAGACTTTAAAACATTTATTTTGAATAGGAACTCAATTCCTTATCTTTTAGTCAGGATTGCAGTGATAAAATTCTTTGAAGCAATGCATCTGTGCAAATGTGTGACAAGTTATCTTATATTCAGAAACACTGGTTATTCGCATGCTTTTGAATTGAAGACAGAAGTAAAACAAGGCTGCCAACTATCACCCATGATATACCTGATTGTAGTGGACTGGATCATGCAACAAACAGTGAGGAGCGAGAAGAGAAGAGAGGGATACGCTAGCTAGACCAGGAAAAAGAACCTAGAAGGTTTGGATTTCGTCGATGACTTATGTCTAATGTCACACAAACTCGAAGACGTACAGGCGAAAGCTAACAAGTTGACAGAAGATGCAGGGCAGCGAAGACCGGACTTCAAGTGAACGTAGAGAAGACAGAGGTGACGAAGATACCCTACCACCACCACCAACAAACTCCAATCACCATCAACGAGAGAAACTTAAAAGAAGTTATCTCTTTCCCTTACTTAGGAAAAGCAGCATCGTTTCAACTACAGAGGGCGGCGGCACAGACGAGGACACCAAAGCCAGGATCGGAAAAGCAAGACAGGCTTTCATTAGCCTGAAACCAGTGTGGAGATCTACTGCACTACACTCCACTCAGCATAAAGCGTGAACAACATCTGGAATTTCAACACTGATTCAGTCGAGTCAGTGCTTCTGTATGATGGTTGAGAGACTTGACAACTCGTCACGAAAAGCATTTCCAACAAACTACAGACATTCATCAACTACTGCCACCTACACTGGCTCCTTACTGAAGATCAGGTGGATTGCCAGAATAATAAGAATAAGCAACAAGGACGTCTGGCTGGCGACGAACCAACGAAGAAGGTGTCACTCAATAAATATGCAGAAGTGGAATGGATTGGATTGGGCATACACTGAGAAGGCCAACTCGGGATGCGCCAGGTCAAGCTGTGGAGTGGAACGCAGATGGGAAGCGACGAGTTGGGCGCGCGACGTGAGGGTGACATGGAGGAGATCGTGTGAGGAAGAAATGAGAGCTTGTGGGTAGTGGTGGAGCCAGGTTGAAAAGATTGGAGAGGACGGAGTGTAATGGAGACGTGCTAGTGAAGCAGTATGTTCCACTAGGAACCCAAGGGATAAAGTATAACATAATAACTGGCATGGTAGGTTTATATACACATTAGTTATCTTAGAAGTGTGTGTAATGACCAGTTGCTGATAAGTTTTCGTCTAGCCAGTAGATAGATACTTTGTTGCAGGGGGTACGCAGAATAGTGTGAGTTTGTTAGTGGCCACAAGAATCTGGAAAAGAAAAAACAAAGAGAAGAAAGGCGAGCTGACGACTCAGCAAGTACGGAGGATATACTTACATTTAATGATAAAAGATAACTGATAAACGGTACAGCTAGATAACAAAGAGATGAGGCGAAACTTTAAGGTGAATGAGTAAGATTTTGAATGCGCTACATGCGTTCAATGATATTGCGTTACTATTTAATAACAGACCTACTACATGATTTTCTTGTCGCATAGTAACCAATATATTGTCATTATAAAATTCCTATTCATTTCTAGGCAGACTTTAAGATAAATGTTAACTAAATTGGATGTTATACATAACTAGCCACTAGGTACTTTCATCTATATCAGAATAGTTTTTGCAGGTATATATTGAGGATAAAGTGTTAAACATCTTCAGTCTTACATGTTCTTATGTTATTTAAGACATTAAAAACCCTTATTAATGTTTATGCTGATTAGTGCCTTTTCAAAAAGTCAGCATTTTCAATGAAACATCCATCTGTTTTGCTATTAATGCCTACTTTCTATGTTAAATGGGTAAAATATGTCAATATTGTATAGAATTATTAATTATACGATCTTTATGCCCATGAACCTGATTTATACAAATTTCTTCATTTCTTTTCGTCTATATTTTGTTGTAGAGGTTCAGTTAAAATAACATCAAAGAGATCAGTTATGTTGATCGTAGATATTAAAAGGTTTTTAGAGTTCACTATTGACAATTTAATATCATTCTTATCTCGAATATCCTGAAGATGATATTTTTTTGGCTCATATTATTGTTATATGAAAATGCAAATGATCATTTTCACTGAACTGAGATCTATACTACACCTTAAAGATGAGATAAGATGAAATTTGAATATTTCAAGTTGTTATTCATCGAAGACTGACATCAGTAGGAGGAACAAAGGAAACCTGGGAGCACTTGACAGCTGTTTCGTCCCACTAATATGGGACTCCTCAGCAGTGCGTACCCACGACCCAGCCCTCCCCGGATCGAACCCGCAGCCTTCAAGTTCCGCGACCAGCGCGTTACCATTGACTCACTGGGTCACAATCCAATGCTACATATTTCCAACTTCTCTTAGCTCACGATATAGCGCAAACCGCCACCCAATGTCATCGTTGAGTATTTGTCCTCACGACCATCAGGCTTTGACTCCACCGGTCACGACTTGTCATTGGAACTTCGGGAATACTTCTCGAAGCTAGTCACCAATGAGCACCAGTTCAATTAAATTTTTGAGGGAGTTGTGGAGATATGGAAATATTTCAAGTTGTTATTCATCGTAGACTGACATGAGTTGGAGGAAGAAAGGAAATCTGGGAGCACTGGACAGCTGTGTCGTCTTAGTATGGGACTCCTCAGCAGTGCGCACCCACGACCCCACCAGGTGCTTTACTACTCATGACTTCTAGGACATATTTTGAATTCATATAGTTTTTGAATATTTGGAATGGTTAACTATGAGTGGGTGTATTTTGCTACCTGTAAAGCAGAATCTTTCCAATTTCGATGTATAACGTAGTGCTGAATATTAAAATCTATTCTTGAGCTTATTCTATGGGGGACAAATTAAGGTCACATGGTCAGTAGACAGCCTATTGAAGGACTGATATAGTGTCATATTACTCTGACACTTAGCTAAACATGTCTACGTCTATGCCACGTAAACTTCAAAAACATATTTGGTAATGTATTTTGAAGTGAGTGGGCATTTTAGTTTATAGTCAGTATTCATCACTTGGAAAACCATTAAAGACCTGGGAGGACTGGATAGTTATTTCTCCCTAGTATGGGACTTGTCGGCAGTACACACCTACAAGACCATCCCAACAAGAATTGAACTCAGAACCATCAGGTTTTACGGTGAACGCATTAACCATTCCCCCACTGGGTGGGACATGAGTGGTTCACAGTCTCCAACTTCTGTTTGTTCGCGATATAATGTGACGATCACTCAAGATCTTCAGTTAGCATTCACTTCACTTTCGACTGGTTGACTCCACAGGTCATCGCTTCTCATTACAACCTCGGGACATCCATGTGAATGCATGTTGCCAGTGAGCGCTATACAGCAATATCATGGATATGTACTGCTGAGGAGTCCCATACTAGAACGAAGCAGCTAAATATTTCTCACGGATTTCCAGTGGTTCTCCAAATGATGTCAGTCCGTGATAAATACTACCTTAATATATTTAGTAGTCATTTTTCTCTTAGTCAATATTATTGAGAAAACTAAACATGTTCCTGGAACAGCTTTCAATGGAAATGAATTTCTAACCTGTATTCTCTTTCAGTCTGCGATTAATAAGTACAGTTATTTTAGTCAAGTTATCAGAATATGGTTTACCTAGATAGAGTATATTCATTTACTGTTAAGTTAGATGAGATAATTTCACTTATATTTACCTCTTTGTAGTGTGCGCTCAAGGTATTAATAAACTTATAAGGCAGATTATATTTCTAATGATGGATCGTGGCTTGTAGTGGAATCCAGGATATGCATTTCGTCCTATTTGGGACAATCTTCAGCTGGATGTACCTGAGTTCGAGTCCGAATTCCATTGGGAGCAATATCACTCACTGGAAAGCAGGTACATCCAGCTGACTGATGAGTTCCAAAGAGGACGAGATGCTCATCCTGAAATTCCACTGCTAGCCATGATCCATTATTAACATAATTAGATTGCTGGCAATATCGAGGCATCCATATAGGAGCCCATATGTTAATAGAGACCAATCAATGACGGTATCATATAAAAACCCTTATACTAAATTATATTTCTGTCTATCCAGTAATACTTTATATTGAACTGAATAAAGTCATTTTAAATTAGATAGGCTGTCAAAATGAAATTAACAGAATGAATAATCACTTTATAATAACTTTTTAAAATAATTACATAAAGCTATAAAGTTATTACAGAATATATACATTGTCATTATCATAAACTGACTAACCTATATACTATATTATATTGATAAAAGAAAACAGTATTGAAACCAATTAGATTCGTTGTAACTTCAATGACCTTAAAGTAAATTTCAACCAATCAGTTTAAACGACATGTAAATTTCTTTTTTGTTCGGTATAACCATAAATGTATGCACAATACTGTAATCTTCTTTGTCCATTGAATAATAATAATAATAATAATAGTAATGATAGTAACAACGAATACAACTGCTGCTATAGTTACCTTGAATATGTTAAGTAATTTCAACCTGTAAAATCCTTACGGTACATCGACTATCAATTTAATCCTTAATGGATAAGATGAAGAAGTTTATTCATTATAGTTAACTGATTATTTAAAATCATTGTTGAAATGTCAAGACAAATTTCTAAAAAACGATCTGATCAATACTTAAAACGACAACATTCAATGAAAATAGATGATAATTATGGAATAGATATTAAATATCTTGAACCATATAATATACGCTCTAATTCTGTTCAAAGATTACGTACAAATCCAAGTGTACCATATGAACTTCATTCAAATATTGATCAATCAACAAAACGATATCCTAGACAAATGAATACAAATTTAACAGGAAAATCAATTAGTCCACATCTTTTAAATGTAATTAATCCAAGTCCTAGTGTACATTCATCTTTAGTTGCTATGAGTCGTGTATCTCAACAGCCATCATTTGAATCATATGATTCATCAATGAGTACTACAAGTTGGACTAGTTCAAATGATCCAGATATATTCGCTAACACTTCACGTTATTCAAATGATCCAAGATCTATTTCACCGAATTATCTAAATTCATATAATACAAGCCTATCAACATCACCACAATCAAAAGATAGAAATATACAAATGGAATATAATCCAACAATGAATGATATTCGTAATAATAATAATAATAAACAAGAGAACATTAAAACAGACTTAAAATTAAATAATGAAGTTAAAGTTAATACAAAATCTACTAAAGTAAAAGATGCATTTCAATCAAGAAAAAAAAATCCATTATTACGTAGTATGACAGTTGATAATAATTCAAGTCTGTCAACTAACGCTGATACCACTGAATGTTTATCATCTTCATCATCAACATTTCAATTAAAAACTTCTCAAACACGTAGTCAATCAAGTAAAAGACTTTACAGTGATGATGAAAAATGTAGCAATGATTTATCGAAACGAGTAGCTGATGTAAGTCTCAGCTATACTACTAGTATTTATCATATTATTATTATTATTAGTCCCTTGGGTTCCTAATAGAACATACCACTTCACTAGCACATCTCCAGTACACTCCGTCCTCTCCAATCTTTCCAACCTGGCTCCACGACAGTCAACAACCTCTCATTTCCTTCTCAACACCATCTCCTCCATGTCATCCTCACCACGGACACCCAACTCGTCGCTTCCCATGAGGATTCCACTCGAGTGCCTGGCTGGCCTGATGCGTGATGTCCCTCAGTCGGTCTTCTCAGTGTATGCCCAATCCAATCCATCTCCACTTCCTCCCACTGCATATTTGTTGGGTGATAGGTTGTTGGTTGGTTCGTTCCCAGAGTTTCTTGTTGCTTATTCTTATTATTGTGGCAATCCATCTGATCTTCAGTAAGGAGCCAGTGTATGTGGCAGTTGTTGATGAATGTCTGTAGTTTGTTGGAAATCCATCACAGAGGAGCAATGACTTGATGTTGGTGTTGTAAATCCGGATGTTGTTCAGCATGCTGAGTGCAGTGCAGCAGATCTCCACACTGGTTTCAGGGTGATGAACGCCTACCTTGCTGTCTTTCCGATCTTGGCTGATTTGACATCCTCGTCTGTGCCACCTGTAGTTGAAACAGTGCCTCCTAGATAGGTGAAGGAGGTTACTTCCTTCAGGTTTCTCCCGTTGATGGTGATTGGAGTTTGTTGTCGTTGTTGGTGTTGTTGGTTGGGTATCTTCATCACTTTTGTCTTCTGTATATTCACGTGAAGTCCCGTCTTCGCTGCCTCTTCTGCATTTGTCATATATAGATGATAATATTATTAAAGTTCAGTGTTGGTAAGGAATTTGGAAAAGAATTTCAGATCTTCAAATGTAATTACTACTTTTGACTATTCAGACGTTGGTCATTGACCGCGTAAATATAAATATTGTCTCGTGTACCAGAATTATCTCAGCCAAACTTACTAACGACACAGATATTCTACAATTCCAGCGATGAATGACTCAGAAATACATTCCTTACTAAGCAGGATACTCACGTCTGAGATAACGGAGAATATTTGTAGCTCAGGTAGATGGTCTTGGTTGTATTGTGTTCTCTGAGATGGGTTGTTTAATCGTGAAGCTTTCATCGTCTTGCTAGACGACATCATCCACAGCACTAACTTCAGTATGAAGTGAGCTGTCAATATCTCTCCATCAGTGATTTAGTGACTTGCCTTGACAAAGTGGTCTGTGGTTGGACGGAGACAACCAATCACAGGCTACATCGTCAGAGTGAGCCACTGAATCACCGATGGAGAGATATTGACAGCTCACTTCACATTGAAGTTATTGGTGATGATGTCGTCTAGAAGGACGATGAGAACTTCACGATTAAACAACCCATCTGAGAGAACATAATTCAACCAAGACTTCTCATGTCTTTCTATCACAATTGTACACATCTGAAGGTGTCACGTGAAATACCGTTAAGAGTTTAAAAAAATCAGTAGAGGATTTACGGACGAAATGAACTGAAGTACTGACTAGTAGAGAAAAGTCAAATACTTAGTATTCAAATCAAGATTATTCTAGCATTAAATTATTGAATGAAGGCAAAAAACCTTCGAAAAAGTTTTAGGCTTGAATTACGTAAAGCTTCAACATGATCTATAGTAGGGTCTAATAAGTTATTCACTATAGCATAGAGATGGTTAACTGAAGACTACTAATAAAGAAAACTCCTTTATGGTAAAAAATACTATTGAATTTGAGGCTTGTATGGAATAATGGATTTTTCAAGTTGGTATTCATCATAGACTGACATCACCTGAAGGAACATTGGAAGCACTGGACATCTGTTTCATCCTAGTATGGGATTCCTCGGCAGTGCACACCCCGTAACGTAGCTACTGCTTTATGGTGGTTAGCTTTGGGAGGTGAGTTCTGAAGTCCTAATGAGAAATGATGACCGGTGGGACAAAATGTGGTGGTCATGACGATTAATACTCAATGATGACATTTGGTGATGATCGCGCCATGTCGTGAACTGACAGAAGTATGGAAATACGGATAAGCGCATTTCTACCCAGCAACTCAGTGGTGATATACTAACCATGGAACTTGAAGGTCTTGGGTCCGATCCCTGACGAAGAGGGGTTATGGGTATGGACCATTAAGGAGTTCTATACTAAGACGAAAGAGCTGCCCAATGCTCTCAGGTTTCCAGTGTTCCTCTAACTGACGTCAATCCGTCACTATCAAATCACAAAGCCTAAACCTACACAAATAGAATAGCGAATCATTACAGTTGTAGAGAAAGAAGATTTATCAAAAACCTAAACGGTAATATATTTTTTTAAAAAAATGCAATTTTATCGAAATGCACACAAATGTCAAGCAATCTATCATTTCAGCTGTAAAAATTAAGCCTAATTCGGCAAGAAAATAAACTTTTTTTACCGTACAACATGTTGGTAAAACTGAAGTAACAACATCAGTAATATGCAAAAGTTAGGCAGTTTCTGTCTTTGTTACAGATAAAATCATCTTGCAACCATTTGAAATTTACGCCAATCAATGTTAATTGGTGTACGATTTAGACAAACTTACCAGGATATAAGCATATCCTTAGTATTCATGGAGCCTAAGCATTTAAATTATATATATATATATGTATCTTCATGTAACCAACTTATTAGTAGGTAGACATGAGTTTGAATGACGCCAGTTATTTACCAAAACATTAACTTTTTAGAGAAAATGTAGGTTTATAGGTTCCTTTTTCTAGGTAAATTACAGAAAATGATGAAGCGTTCACCATACATTTTCTTTAGGTCACTGAAATGGCAGTGTATAAGAGCCTTTAGATGTCACTTGCCTGACAGCATTTTCTCATAAGCTGACTGATTCTTATTCCTTTAATCTCAGAAGATAAAAATGTGCTTGTTATATTTGTCATTCGACTTGTATATACTACAACAGAATGAACATTCAGGATGAGTGACATAATGTCCTTAGGTTCTGATTAAACAGACCACATGGTCAAGATTATGTAGTGTTGTTCGATGAATTTTTTTCCGGTGACCGTCATAGTGTTATCTACTTAATTGACCTACTTTTTGCATAACCCCTATTGAAAAACTAATGGTCCTTTGGAAATAATGCAACTACGTGGAACACAAGTAGAGATAGGAATAAATCACAAATAACTGGAGTAGCAGTTAAGTTGTCTTATGAAAAAAACCCATAATATCTACCTGCTAGGTTATTTTGGAAGTCATTACTGACACTTTAATAAATGGAGTTATTTACATTCATCATCATCATCATCATTATCAACATAGGACCAGGCATTACTGCGTAACACTCCGAGTTGCCACACCTCATCTCATATCAGTACATCAAGTAAAAAGGCAGGGAGGTGAAAAATGAAGATAAGTGAATGCAGTCAAAAGAAATATAAAGTATGAGAAGAAAGGAAAGAGGAGTGACAAAATGGTGAGATTCGGTATAGCGTTGTTAAGATGAGGATAATGTGTGTATACATCTGCGCCACTGACTTCGGTTCTGAGCCATATCACCTGGAGTCAGTCTCCAACCACTGGTTCCTCTTGTCCCTCCGACTCCAACCACCTAGTCTGCATCGTCCTACATGGCTTAAACCAACAGTCAGAGACTTCATACATTGGTGCCATGTTTTAGTCTGGCCACCTCGGGCCTTTTTCCATCCTGGACCCATCTCAGCCAACATTGTGTGACGAGGCAATCGATGACTAGGCATACGTAGAACGTGTCCCAACCATCTCAGTCGATGAAGGTTCACAACCTCGTCAACTGACTTACCTCTTCTCCCCAAAACTCTACACCTAACTTCTGCCTTACTCACGTGGTGACACCACGGAATACGTCCTATACTACGAAGGCAACGGTGGTCAAACACCTGAAGCCTTTTTGTATCCTCCACTTTCAATGGCCATGTTTCACAGCCATATAGTAGAACAGACATTCATCAGTATTTGAATCACTTAGAATGAATTCAGCTACACAAATATCATTGTTCACTTTTAACTCTATTTACAACATTATTTTGAACATTTAATACCTATAGAAACATAGTCTTGAAGTAACTATTAAGTCATTACCCTTATACCTGTTTATCTTAATTGCTTTCTGTTAATGAAGAATTTTTCAGCAAGATACGCTATGCTAGGACCACCATGCACGTTATTATTTTCACCTTCAAAAAAATGGTTTTACACATGAAAACTAGAATCTTTTATGGTTTTTCGCAGAATCCCTCGCCTATAGTTTGCGCTTGTTGGTAGTTACTGCCAAACGATATTTTCAAACTTCAGAGACTGTCTGTTTTTTTTTGTTTGAAGGTTAATACTTACTTCAATGAACGACTGAGTTCTAAATTCTTATAGCCATCCTACTATGAATATAGATCGGACATTTTACTGAGTTACAGACACCAATTTGTTACTTCATGAATAAGTCGTTTTCTATTTTGTACCACTTTCTCAGCATTCTGAAACTGTAGCAATCAGGATGAAGCAACATGAATGGAGTGTTCAAAAAAGCAACTATTACCTCTACAACTTCGTATCTTACCCTAGGTGATCTAAAGTTCTAACTCCATACCGAAGGTATCCCTTGTTCTGTGTAATCTGAAATGATTTCAAAACATCTTATTAGCTTTTTTTTCTACCCCACTATGAGGAACATTATATCAAACTATTATAAACCAAATTACCTTTCTTGGTTTATTTGACCCTACTGTCATTAACACCCTATAATTTTACTAAAATGACACCTTATACTATTACATAATCAGTTAAGTGATTAAATATTTTGCCTTGAATTGATATCCTCAACAGTAGAATAGTGTTGACAAAGTGATACGTCAAATCTCTATATCAGAGAAGCGTAATCCGTCAACAGGTAAATATAACTGTAGGACCTGAGGAATAAGTTCTTGAATAGAATATTCTTTGTTCACCCA